TAACATGATTAAATTCCCCTCTGCATAAATCAGGAGCAATTTTCTCAGGCTTTCAAGTGCCTGCCTTTCAGCATGGTCTGCTCGTCTTCTATGCACTTCCATGTGCAGGGTCTACTCGTCTGTGTGGCGCTGCCACAATGCAATTTGCCCTTGTTTGCTCTGAGCGTTGCCTTTCCGGCCACGCATCCCTGTCCTCAGGTTGTGTGTGTTATACTGTCATTTCCTTCTAAGCCGGTCTCTTCATCATCTGCTTCTGGGGCTTGGGGTTTCGGGTTTTTTGGGTAAGGAAACAGTGCCGCACTGTCAGTGGCTGCTATTTCCAGACAAAAGAGCGTGCTTCCCCAGCGATCTGGTTACCTCACTCTTTAGATGGGGAAACGTCAGTGCTGTAACAAGCCGAAGCCTGTTCTGAGCTCCTCAAGGCAGCAGAGTGAGTCTACTTACTGGCACGGAGGAGATGTGATTGAGAAGAACAGGAATCTGTGGGCTTTACACCAATACACAAAAAATGAAGCCCAAAAGTTATTGCTAGGGACCCCAATTATTATTTAGTGGTTTTAGCTACCAGAGACCCTAGTCGGGAATGAGCCTTTTGTACCACGTAGTACAGAGATACAAAGATACAGTCCCTTTCCCAAAGACATCATGTTTAAACCTAAGGGTCCAATTATTCATTAAAAAAGAGCAAAATCCTGGCTTGGCTATAGACATTTTGGGGCTCTGTTGGTAAAAGTCTTCCCAGCTGTACAATTCTCAGTCCTATAGATGTGTATATACAATTGACAGGCTCAAGAGTGAATCGAGCCATTTAGGCCTACTAGGATTGGCTTTGTGCATGAGAAACAGAAGCTCTGGAATTCAGTGTGAAAACAAGTACTAGGGTTTTAACACACATTTGCTTTTCCTTCTTTCATTCAAGTGATTGCTGTGTGTTCAGATCAAAACATACGGCCTTTCCTTTTCTTTATTCACCCTCTCAATGTTATGTTTTTATCATCGTCGGCTGGGTCGCGACAGTCTTTTGATGACAAAAATGTGTCGTCTTATGGCAAAAAAGGATACATTTATTTCCTTTTTGTTCCATATCTAATAGTTCTAATTCCCACATTTTTTATTTATTTTGACATGTTCAACTATACTATACTATACTATACTATACTATACTATACTATACTATAGTGTCCAATAGCAATTGTCTTGGCAATAACTGTCCATAGTTTCTGTTTCCAGGAGGACAGGCACTTTGCTTATCTTCTTTTCTTCCACTTCACTCTTTCCTCCCCTGCCCTCAACATTATTTTTTACCTTTTCTTTCCACCCCTTTTTTTTTCCTTTGCACTGTCTTGCTGCTTCTTTTTCAGTCCTGTAGATATAGAAAGCTCCATGGAAAAGCGTTCCTATATGAGCAGCGAGTGGAGTTAACCTTGAGTCTACTAGGTTTGCATCAATTGAATGCAACAAAGAAAGAAACCAGTGGAGTGACCCCATTTGAGGGAACACCACGCACTTCCAGGCCTCTTACAGTGAGGAATTTGTTGGCGTTTCATCTATAAACTCACCTGCTTTCCAAATCCTCAAAGTTTGTAACTTAGTTGTAAATATGGAAATCTGGAGAAGAAAATTACAGCTGAGTGTGATCTTCAGTCCTGGCCATTTTTAGTGACAGGAATGCAGTAAACATGGGGGTATTTCACACACGCTCGCAAAGCCAGATGCTGCTCTCTTAAGATCCATCAAAACGTTGCATTGCAGGATCATTCCTCCACAGTTCAAATTTGCATACATATCAGTCAGGTTAGCTTTGCTTGCAGCTTCATTGTATAAATAAGGAAACGCATACCTGAGGATGTGTGTTGGAACAAATATGCCTTTGTTCTCTCTGTACACTAGTTCCTCTTGCAATCAATACCCCAAAAGCAGGGTACCTGACATTGCACGTTTTGTGGAATCCAGTTACTCCACACGATGGATTTGTTGCCCTCCCCTTTGCAGAAATATTGTTAACGGGGTCAGGGTCAATGGAGGAGAAGAAAGGCTTTTCTGGAGAATTCACACAAACATTATTGCCCTTAGTTTCAGTTTAATCTGTGTGATTGTGTTTCAAACTTCTTTAAAAGTAGCTGGGAGCAGTTTGTTATACCCCTGAAATTATTTTTTAGCTCTTTCCCAGTTGTTTAGAAATCTGAGTCCTTGAAACCCCCTGCCTGTGAAATATGAGACAAAGAAAAAGAAGTAGTAAAAGCTGAGTCATTTTGCATCTGCACATATTTTGCCAACAGCAGCATGACACGGATGGAAATGAACTGATTCAAAGCTGGAGGCCACAGTGACCTTCCCCTGTGGTCTGTGGACTCTTTCTTTACGCCTGCTGTGATCCCGTCATGGTTTTCCCCCATTGATTGTGGCACAGGGGAGCAGATTCTGCCAGCTCTTACTCAAGGGGTAATTCTACTGATCCTCCATGAACTACTCTACAGGATAAAAGTTTGGAGGAGGGGACCCAGAGTTGTCTCACACTTGACAAACTTCACGAGCCACAGAGCCAAGCTGCAGACTGCCGCACACCACTTGTGCAATTGCAGTTGTGATGATGAAAGTACAGAGGATGGCTGGACAGGCTCGTCCTGCCTGAGGCAGAGGGTTGGACTAGATGTGATTTCTGGAGGTCCCTTCCAGCCCTATTCTCTATGACTCGATAAGGACAATTTCCAACCCAGAGGTGGAGAAAGTTCCTTGCAAACTGTCCCATAAGCAGAGAGCTGAGAAAATAAATTCCCCCTTCACCAAAGGGAGAATATTTCCATGAACAATTTTCCATTGCGAAATCCACTGTTGGGTGGAGGATGAGATTGAAGTGGGTTCCTTGTTCCCAGTTCCTTACTCCTGGTTCCTGGATCCTTATTGTGGGGACTTTATTCCTGGATCTTTTATTCCTGGTTGCTGGATCCTTTAATCCCTGTTCCTGGAGCCTTATTCTTGGATCCTTTATTCCCGGTTGCTGGTGCAGCCCCGTGGGCGGAGGGGAGCGCGAGGGAAATGTGCAGCCCCCCCCCCGCGAAGCGTCGATTTGAGCTCGCCCATTCCGGCAGCTCCCGGAAAGTGGCTGCGCCGCGCCAGGGGAATACGGTAACACGTGCCCGCGCGCGCCCACGTGGAAGGGGAAACGGGCCGAGACTTGGCGCTAATGTCAAAGCCGGAAACGGAAGTGATGTGCTGGCAGCTCTGGGGCTGCGGGTGGGCAGAGGCGCGGGTGTGCGGTGAGTTTCCTGCGCTGCCTCCGCTGAGCCCCGGCCCCGG